ATCGAGCCGAGTTTGCGGCCTGCGCTCGCCGGGCGCGCATCAGCTATCAAGGCGCTCGAGACGCCCAAGAGCGGTGTTGCGCCGAAGAAGAGGTCGAGTCGGAGGACGGCGTCGGATACGTCGGGCGTTAGTATGATCTCGCCGAATCAGTCGTTGGCGAGTAGTGGAGCGCGGGAGACGCGCAAGAGTCATTTGCCGTCACGGAATAGGTTGGGCGATATACCGTGGCAGGCACCCGGTGGGGGAGAGTCGCGTTGACCGCGATGATAAGGTTGCCTTTGTCCGCAGGGTTTTCCGTGTATATCTTTACGTTTTGTGCCGTCTTTCGTTGACATTGAGGATACTGCTGTCTTATCTTCCGCTCCATACACATTCTCTCGTCATACTCGAAACTGGATTCAAGTCTGCCATCTACACGCACGCTCACTCTCGCATTATGCCCGCACTTCTTACCCGCTACTCTTCCTTGTTCACTCCCTGTTCGACATGCGTTTAGCCTAGTCTCTGAGGAACAATCCCTAGGATAGTGTAACAGGGTGCAATACCCGATCTAATTACTACTGGGATGGTGCTGAAAGTTACAGAAGCTCCTATTGAAGACCCTCCGGGTTGATTGCGCCGGGGATGTATATCAGTGTATTTAGACTCATGAGCAGCGTGTCATGTCATCCGGCAGTCGTCTTCCGGAGCGCAGTGTGGGATACTCATCCGCTCATGTACGAGTACTGGAGTATCATCCGCTGGTCGCCGCGTGAGGCGGCGTGAACATGGCGATGCGCGCCGTGGGACCGCGACGACGCGCGCTCTCGCGCACTTCACGGGTCTGATTCCAACGATCATGAGCAACGCGGTTGTTCATCTTCTTATCCGAATGCTTTCTCAATGCCTGGAACGTCGCACCGGGCTGGTCAAAACGTAGCGGGCCAGTATGGGCCAACACAGGCCAACACCAGAAAACGAACACAGCCTCCGCAAACCGAGAAGTTGCCCGCTTCGTACGGCGTCTATCGGTTGCACTGCCCCTTCTATACTCCCGTCTGCTTCGGATTCCTTCCCTGCCTATAAGGGCTATGTCATCACTACAGCAGACATTGCGGCGTAGGCGTCCGACTAGACATAATCCCGAGATGGCAACAATAGCTTCTTCTGCACCCATTGAATGTCCTCACGACGCTTCGAATGCTATGCATTTATGGTACCCGGAACGTATTGACGACAGATGACCGGATGATTGCTCTTTGTGCCCGTATGGCACAGACACGCACCGGCGAATACTTGAGCTTGTGACGTCCGAGCTATCCTAGGATTGCTGGACTGAATATAGCACCGTAGATTGGTCGCATGTAAGGAACACTCCTCTTCCCTCCCCATACGACGCAGGTCTATCTCCGCCCCTCTGTTCTTGATCAGCCCCGCACGCAAGCATGTTGGAAGCGCCATCTCTCGACGGCTACCTTGGAGCCCTTCTCATAGGCACCATGGTGTCGACAGCGTCAGTGAACTCAGGTTTCGCGATACACGTGTGGGAGGCACTCAAGAGGTTTCTTGCTTAGGATATATGGCATCACCGGACTCCAATACTACCTATACTTCGCCCATCACAGCACACGCGATGGGCATCTGGTTAGATCTATTGTGAGCGTAGCCGCTCTCCGAGAGTCTGTTGAGACTCACATGGCTTGCTGCAGATTGGTATCCTCTTGTGCGTCTACCGATAGTTCTCCACCTATAATCCTCGACGCCGAACTCATCGTGAGCCGCAGAGCTCTGGATACGCTTCATGCGGCGCTGTTGGGGGTGTGCTACTACCACTATTCCGTCACACACTTCGCCGACTACGACGCTCTGAAACAGCCACATTGGTGAGCATCGAACTTGCCGCGTTCATATCCGTGCTGATCGGCTATCTTAGGTCTCTGCTAGTTCAAGTAGGCGTAGGGGTAAGTCACCCCTGGCCGCGATATCTGTGCCAGTGCGACTAATCGAAGTCGTCGCCTAGACTGTCATAACTCTACTCGTTCAATGGTATGTCGCTCCCTGTGAACTCGGATGCTCACTCATTAGTATGCTCATACGTTCCATCCAGTTTCTACGCGTATCGCATCTACCGCCGTACGTTCCCCCACAGGTCGGCTGCTTTGCGCTTTGGTCTGATCTGTGATTGATCGTGTAGTTAGCAAAAGAGTGATTGTACCTCTGGTCATCGTTGCTCTGTCAGTTGGTCAAGAGGGTGCGCTCCCATGCTCTTTCCGGCGCTTACATTGCATATACTCACGATTGACTGCATAGTCATGGGCGGTATAGGTCAGCAAACGATCGACAAATAGCTTGTCCGAGTCCGGATCGCTGATGCTCTGATGCTAGTCTACATGATTCGATCGTCAGTATCGGTCACTCTGCGCGGCGCCGAACCTCATACTTATCACATCATGCACAGATTTCAGGCCCATAGGATTGTACCAAAGAGTTCCCTACAAGGAGATTCTGTTGTGAGTCACTGCGTCCATGGGTTAAGTCGATTAGATACTCATGAAACTACAGATCTTTACCACTGCAGGACTTGCGTGCGATGTTGTCTGTGATATATGCATTGCGGTGGCCACCATGTCATATATCTACAAGAAATCTCCCGTCAGCATGAGGTGGGTGCTTCCTACCGCAATGGCAAGATCAGAGCGCTGAGTGACACGGGCCTTCTTAAGGACAAACAGGGCGATCGGGCAACTTATCCTATATAGTATGAGTTCATGTACGTGTACAGCTGATTATGACGTTGCTCGGTACTCACTTGAGAGCTCAGGCCTTCTCACTAGGTGGGTTTCGCTGTGTCGGTCGACAGAACATCCCTCATGAACCCGTGTTATCTTCGAAAGTGTTTGTGCCGCTATGTGTTTAATCGTAGTGAGCAACTTCTATCTATCTTTGACACCGCATCCTAAACTAATGGGTATCCAGTGGATCGCGACAAGCCGAAGTAGCCTCATTTACGCGCCATTCTTCTTCGTCATGATCCGCTGTGCGTATTCGTACGTCGAACAGGAAGTGCAGCGAGCTGACAAGCATCTTCAGTGTACAGTTGCTCGCTCATGACTATGTGAGACAGTTCTCTCCAGGCAGCGGGAGTGATGTTTACTGATGCTATGCAAAGCATGAATGGCAGAGAGAACTTGCTTCGCACGCTGCGCATGTCTGTGTCGAAGCCACGGAACTCGTCATTGGCGGGTACTGGACCTCACATATATGCAAGCGCTCCAAGAAGACACGAAGATACAGACGTGGAATCTAAACTACCGGATCCTCTCGCATCTCGTATTGAGACCGTGAGGCCGTACGATGGGAGTCAGTCATCGTTGAGACCGCTCGACGACTTCCAGATGACCAACTGGTCCGGCCCGGTGAGCATGATCCGAATGAACTCCGCTCAACATACTCAGACGCACATCATAGTCCACGATCACTGACGAGAGATGCCAGGTCTGAAATCTTACAACATTGTGACATATTATCTGAACCATCAGCATTCTCGTTGGCGTCATCTTAATCGTATAGAGTCACGATACAGAGTCAGCCTCCTATCCGATATCCCGCAGATGAATGGAATAGCAAAAAGACGCAGAGAAATAGAAATGGATTCACATTTGGATCTCCACTTATACTACTCCAGAAACTCAGGACCGATACGGTCGTGTGTTGTAGCGTGTCAGAACCCACTCCCCCAATCTTCCCAGTTCCACAACTTCATCGGTTTAAAAACCTGCTTCGCCTCGTGTACAAAGTTTGGGTGACCCCTCCCTCCTTTGTCTAAGGCGCTCCACATCTCTCGTGATTGCAGGTGCTCCGGATCGAAGTATATGCTGGAGAGAGGTGCGCCCGCGGCAGAGCGCTGTAGCAAAAAGCTCGCGAGAAGCACCCCGCGTTCGCCGCGCTTCTTCTTGTTCTTGCTGGTCGGGTGCGTCCAATTGAGTTCTCGGTTCCAATAGTAAGACTTCGATGACAACGCAGCTGGAGCGATGGATATGGTCCTGAGCTCGCGCGCCAGCAAAGGCTCTTGAACGAAGTACAACGTCTCCAGAAGATGGTTGAGATCTTCTTCGCGATCGACGCGTATGGCAGAGACGTGCGGGTACTGGGTAAGGATCTCCAGCCAAGGCATCTTCGTCTGTACAAGCGGCCCCGCCCGACGCACGCTCAAGGTCCGCATATATGTGGCAGTCCTGAAGGATGACACCAGATTTCCAAGTGCTTTATCCAGTTTACGTTCGCTGATGTAATTCGTGAGCTGTAGATTGAAGTTCGGCTTGGGGCGTAGTTCTTGCGTTGACCCAAGTCGGAGCTGGGCATAGCGGTCTGCCGTGGGCTGTCCAGTAATGCACACGTATGCGGGCTCATCTTCGCGCCAGGCCGAGAAGACGAGAGAGCCCTCGTCTTCGTGTTGCGGGATGCGGACCATCTCCGGTCTATCTTCGGGCAGTCCTAGGAGCTCTATGGTGTGCAGGTCTGCCCAAGCGGGTTTCGATAAAGCGTGTTCCAAGTAGGTCCAATGGTTCAAGTGGCCGTTGATTATGGGAGCTTCCCCTGCAAGATGCACGGTCACTCCTGGAGAGAACTCAAGAGTGTCGAACAGCAGTATGACGTCCACGAGTGTCTCGCATCGCACGAACAAGAATTTGAGAGAGGGGACGGCAATCGACCTGGCACGAATATCTTCGTCGGCGAAAAGGTCGCAATTGGCGAGCGTGAGGCTTTCCAAGCGTGAAAGTCTGGCCAGAGCGTCTAAGATATCAGGCGCGTCAAGTGGTACAGGCTCCACGTCGGATCCGATATAGAGGGAGGTCAGACTGGCAGAAACGTATTGAGACGCCACTTCAAAGCCTGTTACATTGTGGACTTGCAGATCGGTGAGATGCGGCATGTGATGTACTGGCTCGTAGGTTTGCCACACGTGTTTACGCGTCCGATTCGGGAGGTAGACACTGAGCGACCGAACATCCAGAAGTGTGATTTTGGACCTTGACAAAGAATCGGAGGAGTGTAACGACGTGATCTGCACGGTATGCGCGCTTTGGAGCAGGGCTCTCAATTGCGCCAGCATGGGTGCCCGAGGTCCGACGTGGACGCATCGAGGCGGGACCTGACAGCGCTCGGTGAGGAGGTTCATCCATTCGGGTCCAAATGCCGTGGTGGTTGTGTGCCATAGAGAGCGGTCTCCTAGTGCGCATTGTCGGAACTTAGAGCACACATGCGTCACTTTGACCCATCTCTTCGTCGGTGTAAGGCTGCGGCGACTAGCGCGGTCCTCCAGTACGTTCGGCTCAGCTGGGACGGCAGGCTCCAAAATGGAGAGATAGTGGAAGATAATGGAGAGAAGTTCCGGGGATAACCGCGAGACAGGCCGAAGGGCGTTGATGCATCTATAGAACTGCGCCGATTGTGCCTGTAAGGCTTGCAGCTCGTTCTCAATGACAGCCAAGGTATCTTGCGTTGTGGTTGTACCGCGCGTATTCTCGACCAATGCCTTGTAGAACTGCACGCGCGGCTGGAAGGCGCCCTCCCAGTAGTGCTTCACGCTGCGATTCTGCGTCAGAACGGCCGGAGCCCGAGATCATTGATGGACACACTAGTACCTCGCAGAGTCTTCCGGCAGCATGCTCAGTTGTTTTTCGAGGGATGTACGTTCAGCGTGAGATGCGAGTTAGATGCGGGTTACTCGTTCAAAAAGTGAAGAAGACTAGTGGTCGCTCATGAACAAGAGTGCGCGTGAGGCTCCGCGATAAACACGATGTGACGCGCCTGTGACATGTCGCGTCTCGGACATCGGGATCAACTGACTTTCGTGCAACGGTTTGTATCCAGAGGTGGCTCGCCCGTCGAGGTCCAATCAAGCTTTGCGAGCCAGCGGTAGCCAACGCAATCCGCCGGCTGAGCCCTAGAAACTGCTGACGTTGACGAACTTTTCGGTGAGCTACGCAGTCCGACGTATATAATAACGCGTTGATGTGCTCGGCAAAGAATGGTGCAACGGAATATACTGGAATGTAACGCGTGTCGCCAGAGCTCAACGAATGAACGTTCTAAAAACTATAGTATACACATAAAGTACACAATTAAGTCGTAAAAAGTCCCATCATAACGTCCAAGCATCAAGCTTGCAGTCGCAAGTAGATCACACGGAGTTCCAGCCCCCTCGTTGAAAGATCTCCACTCAAGGAACCCCTCACTGGCTATCATCGTCAGATGACGTCTCCCGATCTCCATTAAAGTCAACATTTGCCCTTTCAAGCTCAGACGAGGTTGTCTTAGTGCTCTCCACGCTTTCCTGGCTAGAACTAGGATAAGCGTCCGGTTCATCGGGATTGTTGTCGAACGGCGCAGAATCAGGTTGAGAGCTCGGCGGCGACCTCAAAGAATCGGACTGCGGTGATGCAGTGGAACGTCTCGGGATGGCCGTACCAAGCATCTTCTGCCTGGGCTTCTTCGGTTCGACGCGGCGCTTGAGTGCAGGAGGCAGCTCGGAAGAGCTTGGGAAGGAGACTGGGAGTTGTTGAGGATGAGCGCGGGGTGTCATCTGGCCATGTTCGTCTGGTACAGGCGTCGCAGACCGAGAACGATCGAGCTTCTCCGCGTCTTCGCCGACTTGATCGTCGTTGAGAGTCTCAAGGACACTCCCTGTGCCTGTGCGTACGCATGAGCATAATGCATGGAGCATGAAAACACGGGGACAGACCGTTCTTCGTCTGGAGCTGCGAAAGTTGCTGGACGAGGCTAGTTGTGTCTTGTTTGCTAGTCTCAGGAAGGGCTGGGTCCGTAGCAGCGACGGCTGCAGAGAGCTCAGTGTGAACGGACTTGACGATCATTGCATGACCTACCAATGCCAGGCTCACGCTGCTGAAGAACAGGAGATGCTGGACGCGTGTCGGTCGTGGGTGGGTCGTGCTCTTCGTCGCCTGCATGTCGTACGTCAGCACATAGCCCCATAGACCGGCGCAAAACATTACTCACTAGCAGCGATAGATGTCGTAGAAAGGCCCCGGGGGCGCCACGAAGGACCAGCCTCGGGCGCCCCAGAGTCGCTCTCGCAACGCCAGTGCTTGATGATTCGGCGCGGCACCGGCTCCGGGCTAGGCGAGCGCGAGCGCTTGTTGTTCGTGACTGGAGCCATGAAAGGTGTAGTAATGAATGTACGTGAAAGAGGCGAGAGAAAAGGATAGTGGTAGCGATGTGGATGAGGCAGAGAGCAAAGGGAAAGGAAGGAGCCTGGGGTAGAGACAGGTCGCACTGACCACATATATAGTGGCGTGCCCTTTGAGCACAATCTTCTTTGCCCCGGTGGCACTTTGCTCGGTGGCTTGAAGGCTCGATGACCGAATCTGGAACAAGGCTTCTCGGTGAAGGGAGAGGCAGTGAGTGTGGCACAAAGACGTCTTTACGAAGCCTACGCATCGCGGCGAGATGAAGAGGAGGAAGCTACGGCCGCGTTGTCCCCAGATAGAACAAGCTTTGAATCTAGCTTAACACTCGCACAGGCATTCTGATCTCGCAACGAGTGGCGCAAAGCAGCAATGAACATGTATTAGCAAGTGTAATGTACGAGTGAAGGTCTATCCACTCTGCACATTGATTAGATGCCGAGTGTCCAATAAGAACAAAGTTTCGACGTACTTCATCGGGTCGACTACCTCCGGGAGAACGGGATCTGGAACCCGGAAAGTAACTGGCGGGCCTTATTTTGCGCACCCTGGCCGCGGGCGTTGGTGATGAAGTGTATGTGCATACCATACGACTTCGGGTATGCGTCCAGGTTGACCTCAATTTGCGGGAAGAATGCCATAGCCTGTGGCGTGAGACCCATGGATACGGTCCCCGAAACGCCAGCCGGCGTCTCCAAAGATGCCTTCTGCGGTGGCAACAGGAGTCCCGGGAATTCGCGCAGTCGGGGGAGCACGAACTCCGTCAACGTCGCCAGGAACTCGTACATCTTCGGGCCCTTCATGTCGACTTTGACACCGATAGGCTGGCCCGTTCTGACCCAACCCGAAACATTCTTAATGCCCTTCACGATTTGTACACCCTCCGCACCATAAGTCCCACCACCCTTCTGAGTTTCACCCGACAGCGCACGCAGAACCATCATTGGGCCGAGTAGATTCGCCTTCGAGAGCATCGCGTCCTTCACCATCGTGTGAATCTGGATACGCTCCAGCTGTACAACATTCTCGTCGGTTGTCGGAGCCGCGGGTTTGCGCCCCAGCCGGGAACCTCCGGCTGGTGGGTTTGTACGGTGCTTTGTGTATGGGTCTTCGGGGTCATGCGTCAGGCGAATTTGGCGGGGTGTTGGGCGCGGCCCGGACTCGTGGACGTAGGTCATGTACATCAAGTCATCCTGCAGGGTGTGGTGGTAGTGCTCGCCTAGCCGAGACTCGTGCGTATCGCGCAAAACTATGTCGCAACGTGGAATAGGAAGACCCTGCTCATCCCGAGGTAGCCGACGAGCAGCCTGTGCCCGGCGAGCCTTGATGAATTCAGAACCAGCTCTCCTGGCTACTGCACGTGCGCTCATAGCTACAGACATGTGAGCTCATAAAGTCATACTGTGATTGAACTATACGCACTTGGAACAGGGCCTGGTGAGCGTTGCGCACGGACGCGACAAGCGCGACGCGCAGAGCTGGCACGCGTGATGAGAACGGTCCCACGAATTTCTCGCGTATTTCCACGGAGCAAGTCGGCCCGCCGCCTTTTTCTCCTCAACTCCCATCATCTGCCGTCTGAACCACCTCCGACATGCAAAATGATCTCTATCAACATTCGCTGCGATCGCCATATGGATTTGTCGCGTGAATCACTCTCACAACGGCTTCGATAGCTCCCTCGACGGGCGCTCTGAGTCTTTCACGGGGATCCGCGTTTTTGCCTTCAAACTTGACTCCGATCATGATCATCTGGTGCTTTCCTCCAGACTCGACCCGCAGAAAGACCACAGCCCAGTATGAGAGCTGTATGGAGCGCAAGAAGGGTACTGTCATGGGCTACATACCCGCCTCGGTTTTACGTTCGTGGATTCTATGAACTCGTCCTAGATCGATCTGCTGAGCACGAATGCTGTCATGCTCGCGTCGCTTCATGGAACGCCGCTGCCCTGCGTGTGGTTTTCTTTCATATGAGCAACGGAGAACTGCCGAGAAGAAAGATTGCGAACGCTTCGATGCCCTTTGTATCCCTCCCTCAACTCGCTTCTGGTGCCGCACAGTCACCTCATGTTGCCTCGTGCCTCCCCAAACAACCACAGCGTCAACCACACAATGAGCAATCGATGCCATGTGTATTCTCTGCGTCAGTCTTTGCTTTGTCTACATCGCGATAACGAAGCCTTGCGGCGCACATATCTGATTGTCTGGATACCTCGTGGTGATCGCACTTATTTAATGTTGCGCCCCAAACCACCGTCAACGCGGGTACCAGCTACATGAGTACGTGCGCCTAGATGGGGTGGTTCCAGTCTCTAACGTATTAAAAGGACGGGTCCTCTAAAACCGCTTCCCTACTCTCTCAACCCCTCTTCGACGCCTCTTTCCCTTACACGGATCATGCCAATCTTCCTGCAGCCGACTTTTCCTCACTGGTATGTCTGATGATCTTGGCTTCTGTACTTTCGATGCTGATACGTTTCTCTCAGCAACTCTATGCCAGGGGAAGCCGACGTGATGCCGCCCTTCCGGACTTGTGATTTCAATCAGTAAGTACCTGTTGACCCCGGCACGCGAGCGACCTGGACTGACCTAAAATAACTAGCGCCACTCCACATACGACGACTAATATGCTCAGATTCGCGCCTGTCTTGGATGCGGGAGATGCTGACGACGAAGAAACGTAAGTGACCGTCAAATCTTTTGCATCGGCTGTCTACAGAACTGACCAACTATTATCAGGGGAAGCGCTTCTTCTGATGAGGACGAAGACGATCAGTCTGAGCGGGCGGAGGATACTCCCTGTTCGTCTCGAGCGTCGCCGTATGCGGATGAGGGCGGTGCAGATCCTCAGAGCAACGACGCGGGTGCAGACGAACCTGAGGAAGGTCGCGAGGTGGCGGGCGTCAACCGGGTCTGGGGTCCAGAAGGCATGGAGAACTTTCTGTATTGCGAGTCGAGCTTAGACCCGTTTCTTCAAGCGACGCACGTCGACACTTCTGATCTTGGCCCGCTATACCCTCCTCTTACGCCCTCTTCTCCCCCCGCTCCATTGGGATACTTCAACGATTCCGAAGACTTCAAACTCTTCGATTTCGACCAACTGGCGCCGGCGCCGACGCAACCCACGGCCGGTCCTTCTTTCACTCCGTACAACTTTGATCACGGATATCCTTCGGACGCAACAATACCCATCGCCACCTCTCTTCCTATCGTCAACGCCAATTCCTTCGGTATGCCCTCCGACCAGAACGCGAACTTAGCGTACGTCAACCTCGCCGACCAAAACCTCGCGACGCTACATCAATCATACGACGTTCATCCCGCGGCCGGCGGTATGCCCACTCAGGCTGTCGATTCGTGGCAAAGCTCGGGTGTTTTGCCGCAGCCACAAGACTCTATGTCTCTTCACCCGCTTTGGTGGCAAGAGCAGCTACACACGGGTGGCTCTTCTGCTGTGCCGCCGATCCTTCCGCCATCCCAACCTGGTATCGCGGCGCCGAGACCACAGCGCGCGTGGGATACGCCTACGGTTTTGAGCAATTCAGGCGTAGACGCAGCGCTCGGCATCACCGACCGGCTGACTGTCAGTGCACCCGCTGAGCTTCCTGTGAAAGCCGACGGCTCTATGCAATCAGCGTCCATGATCGCACAGACCCACACGCAGATGTGTACGACCCATATTATGGAAGCGCAAACCTGGCTGCAGTACACCAGCCATAGCCAGGTTGTACGCGAGCATCGGTCTGAGACTGTACACACGAGCCATCTTGCGCCACCAGGGCCGCAGAGAACACAGCGACAGCACGCTCGGATTACTCAGGGACCGTACAGGACTTCATATTGCAGCAGGCGCCAAAGCGTCGATGCGCTGCTGAACCGCCTTCATCCAGAGCCGCTCGGTGCGTGTATATCGGACTTCACTCAAACAAATGACAAGCTCTGACTGTCATCCGCATAGCTGTACTGGAGCATGCTGTTACGAACATGGCAAGCCCCCAGATGCACGCGCAGATGTGATGTCGGCGCACGCAACCAACACTTCCACTGGCGCGCTTTGGCTAGTCAGGGGCCTCCAACTACCACGGATGGACATCTGTTGACGCCCCGTATCTTGTAACTAGATGAACCACATGTATTCTATGTCTTATATGCCCACGCAATACGAGTATGCGTATCCGCAGAATATCCAGCGCCCTTCCGAGCGCCCAGATAAGATTGACCAACTTGGCGGAATTGCCTTTCTCGTGGCAGGCACGCGAGAGCCATGCCGGCCGGCGATTATTCACCGATGTCCGATCCTCGCCAGCGTGTGCACATGGACTCTCAGGTTCACGCAGACCACCATCATCTTCCGCAAATATATGGCTCGTTCCTCGAACCCTTTTCGAGTTCGAATACGTGTCGAGGCTTGAACGGATCGAGCGGCGCAGCTTGGCGTCGAGAGAGTGCATACGCATCGACGTTCGGGCCCTGCCCGGAAATATCGTCTTCTCTGTCAAAAAGTGCGTGTGCCGCTGCGATGGTTGCCTGATCATGTTATCTTTTCGAATACCGGACTGCGGTGCGCAGGTTTCTGGCCTTCTGGCTCGACGGGTGTAGAGCAAAGCATATCCATACAACATCGTACCGCTCATCCGACTTGAACTATCCCGTTTTTCGTCCCTTCATCAAGAGGTAACCATCCGCTGCTGTGTTTTCACCTGCGCTCTCAAGCTCGTATCAAGAGAACGTTGTCATGAGGGAAGCAAACCTTCCTCTCGACGCTTCCGAAGTCCCTTGACGAGGCGTTCTTCCTGCGCTCGATCCGATATGATTGGGTGCTCGTGGGGCCACCATCTGTTATTGCCATGGCGACGATGCAAGCTCCCGGCGTCTACCGACGTCCTGCCCCGTTCGGCCATACCGCTAGAAGGATAACGTAGCACGCCCAATATAACCTAAAACGCTCGGCACACCCACAGTCCAGCTTGGCGCAGCCTCTTTATATATGACTGATCTCGCGTCCTCGCCAACTTTTCCCAACGCGTCCCCCTTTTGGTCCTGTTTGCTCCTTCCTTTCACTTCACCCTTCGTCTTCAGACCCTCTTTCCATTCCTGTGTACTAGAGCCTCAATGGCCGTAATGTGCGAGCGAGTCACCCTCCCGCCGATTTCTTCTCTCGATTTTGCCTTCGACAAACCCAGCAACGAAAACACTCGTGCTCCCACCCAGCGCAACCGCGACACCTCTCTTTCGCCCCGGGGATATACAAGCCCCCCGGCCCCTCACGCTCCTTACGAACGCAGCAGCTGGGATGCCGCTCGCCCGCCGACTTCGGGCCGTCCATTCTTTACGACTGAGCACTACCAGGACGCCAGGACGCGTCCTAGTGCGTACGAATATCGTTCCAGCACAACTTTCCCTTCCCCTCCCCTGCCGGGTTCTCTCTCTCGCCGCGCTTCTTTCGAGGGCCGCCCTATGACTGCGGACCGCCCGTTGACCGCGCCGACGTCTTCTCTCGGCGCTCCGGGCCTGGCGGATGTCCATCAGCAGTGCGTGCTAATCAGTTTTGGTACCTGAAAGAGATCGGGCCCTCATTCATGTTCTACGTTTCAGCCGAACATCGCATGTGCGCACCGCGTCGCAGCTCTCTTCAAAGTCTGCGGACACCTGGAGTGAGTACGATTCAGAGCAGAGGGACAGCCCCAATGAAGGCCGTATGCGGTCCTTGTCTCCCGGCGGCAGTCACTTCGCGCATGCGCCCCCTCCCGAAACGCCTATGTCGACCCACTTCAACCCTGAAGTTCGCTTCATTCACTCCTCTCCGAGCGATGTGAAGTCTCGCCCGACCACCTCCGCGAGCCGTCCCACTACCTCGGTCGGACGGCCGCCGAAAGCGTCTGCGGCGAAGAAGCGCAAGGTCGACGACCGCGATGCTCTGTCCGAGGACGAGCTCGCGAACGACGAGGCCGAAAGTCCGGACTCGCGTCAAAAGGGCGAAGGATCAGACGACAAGCGCAAGTTCAAGAAGATGATGAATGTCCGCCATTACCGTGCCCAGACCAAGGATGCCCTACAGTCCCTGCGCGATGTTCTTCCCGAGAGCATGCGGCCGCAGGAACGCCAGGCTCGGTCTTTCACGGTCGTCAATGGTGCGTTCTTCGTTTACGTGGTTAATTGATGTACGGTGCCTTATCTCATTCATTCTACAGCGGTCAAGCACATCGAGAACATCACCGGGCAGCTCCATAAGCTGCAGCGCGAGAACATGGAACAGGCCGAGCGCCTTTATCGCGCCGACGTGCGCGAGCGCGAATTGCTCAACAAGGTCGCGGCCCTTGAGCAGGCGCTCGGGCAATCCGGCGGACGAAGCTTTTCTTCTTATGAGGAGCGGGTGCCGGCCACTCAGCAGGCGGGGGACCGCGCGTAAATGGACTCTCTGAGAATACGGACTCTTAGCGAGCTACCATCAACCTAGTACCATCATCATCACACTCACATTCACCCTTCACTCGCGATATCGGACGCTTCACCCACTTGTGTATACTTGCTCTCACTTCGCCTTCGCTCTCACTATTGCTTACTTGTCTTCGCATTCGCATTCATCCCTAGCCCATCTTTCGTACTGTGCTTATATATTGTACCCTACCTTACAGCGTCTCATACTTAGTACCTTCTCGGCGGTTACACTCGCTCTATTCGCATCTGGACACTACCTTACACCACATCCTACTCCATCTACCACGGGACGCTACTACATGGTCTCATAGACCGGCGATACTGATTACAGACTCTTGCACAAAATTCACATGTACGATAGTGGGATCCAAAAAGAAATCAAATGGCCTCTGCTCTTCCGACGTCACCGGTCGTCTTCACGCCCAGAGCTGGCCCGACTCGAACTCGCCGAGGTACTGCACATCCATGCGGGCGGGGATAGCATGCGTCGCAGTTGTAGTTGCGTCAGTCGGCGGCCTCTGTGGAGAACGTAGACACTCCGCAGCTGCACGTAGACGCGTGTTAGCAGATGTGATATAGTAGCTGCTAGCTCCATCGGGACGCACCGAGTCGCATGAGCGTTGTAGCCTGCGTCTCACCAACGCGGGAGTAGATCTGGACGCCCCGGCCTTCTAGGAGTTGGCGTAGCACAGCCTCCTGTTCGTACTGCCGTTCCAACACGAGTGCTTGTAACTGCTGAGGCACAGAGTCAGCCCATCTGATCAGGACAATCTATCAGTGCCACCCACTTCGTCGTTCAAGTGAGTAGGCGTATACAGGCTGCTGTGGGCTCGAACAGCCTGCAAGGGGCCCGGGTGATGACCAGCAATGTTAGTGTGATCATTCGTGGAGAGGATCGAGCCACTGACAGTAGCGGTAGTCGGCGGGTTGCCCGTGAAACCAGTCTGAGCGTTCGGATTGATTATGAAGATGACTGTTGACGCGGATGAGCCATCGGACTGCTGGGACTGCTGAGACGAGGACAGGCTACAGGGAAGTCTCAGTAAGCTAGACTCCAGACTTGTAGCAATTCAGTGTACGTCTCGGTAGGTACGCGCGTCAATGATGAATGGGATCCAGTAGGGGCACTTGGAGATATAAAACTGGACACAATCATGATGTCAGCGAGCTGTACAGCTTTAATCGGAGAGCACGTTCGTACAGCTCAGTTGGGATACGATTGAGCGATGTTTGACTGGAGGGAGGGTAGCAGAGTGAACCCCGGGGCGTATCGTCGTTGTCCCTACGCTCCGTTTAGCCATGCGCGGTCTAACTTCACTGAAACTTGGAACACGGACTCAACAGGGGTGGGCGCGCGAGGTATCTGATCATCGTCGAGGGACTCCATATCGAGGCCAATTGATGATCGTTGACCTAGAATAGTGTGTCGTCTCTTATACTTGGCAGCTCCATGGCCACAAAGGTGTCCGTTGAACGTGAATGTTCAAAGAGCACAATGGCATAGTACTTCGAAGGGAGAACAAAGTGATGCTATCCAGCAATACCACCATGTCCGACTACTCTCCATACTGCCTGGCATATCAGGAGGTTTAGACCACCCCGACGTAGAACGGCATATGTACCTGCACCGCTTGAGATGGACATCTATCTGTTGGAGATACAGTAGACCAGAGATAGGCTTGATCAGTGGGTGCTGTCGCTCTTGTCCTGCCATTCAGTACTGTATTTTTCAACGAGCCCTCCCGTTGTCCGCCGTAGAGCGCCACACGCAAGAGCGCTCAAGCATCATGATGATCGTGTGAGGCGACAAAGACAGACATGAAGAAGCGGCCTCTTCCCGCTTGAGCGCTGGAAGGCGAGTTTCCGTAGCCGTCCTGAGACCGTGCATCCTCTTTCATCGTACTGACATCGGATGTACGGCCCATGTATGACCGACTTGGCAAGCGTCTCACCGATCCTCCTTCCATCTTCACAGATGTCAGACGATGGTTACGAGTCTAGCCATTCTGACATCTTGTCTTCTTGACGACGCGCCGGCGGTTGCGGCCTGCCATCCCGCACCGGAGATCGAGCGCGAGGAACGAAGTCTCAGTCCCATAAATGGTTCATAGAAGCGTCGGTTGTCGAGGATGGTGGACGTCGACGTGAAGGTGGAGCGCGCAACGAGGACAGCGTGGGTGAGAGGCTACATCAACCAACCATAAGTTGCCTCGCAACCAACTCGTGCCCGCAAAATGGACACGGTCAAAGTTGATAAAGAGCCGCGCCTTTGTACCACAAGGAGAGTACACCTCTCTTCCCCTTCTCCCATCGCCTGTGGTGTTTCTGACTTCCCGACCGCGTCGGCCGTCCCTTCCTCTCGTTTACGCTGAGCGTTCAATCCATTCTTTACTACTTGTTCACTCCCGAGCTTGCTCGCACCGTACCTCCTACGACTGCTTCGGTCGTCTCAACACAACTCTTATTCTTCGCTTGAAATGAAGTTCTCCGTCGCTCTCGTTTCTGTGGCTCTGGCCGTCTCCGCGTCTGCGTTCCCCATCGAGTTCCGCAAGCGTCAGGGTATGTAGCTCGCTCCAGGACGCTCGAGAAACCCGAAACTCATGATCGTCTGTTGTAGATGCTGCTCCAAGCGCCGCTCAGATCGCTCAGCTCGCGCCTGAACTTGGCTTCAGCGCCGGCGTAAACCCCACAGGCACCGGCGATTGTGATGGTGCCGTCAACGGTGCAGATGGCAAGCCCATCAAAGTTCCATGCCAGTGCCCTCCCGACCAGACGACCTACATCAATGCCCTCACCGCGGACGTTCAGGCTGGCCATGCGGTCAACAACCCGACCGTTGCTGTCTCGTTCCCTACGGACGACTCCACGCAAAGCCAGATCACGCGTATCAACGCCGCTCTTGTCGCTTTGCAGAACCTGAACGGCTCTGGCGTGGGCTGCCCAGCTGCATCTACCACCCTGCTGGCTCAGCAGAAGGCCCTCGCTAGCGGCGGATCTGCGTCGTC